ATATTCAGATCAACACAAGCCAGGATCTCTCTCTCGGTATTCCGTCACGTGGTGTGTGCTACCCTTGACGTCTTCGGCCGCTACACTGCTGTGGTATTCTGTTGTCAGTATTTCTTAACGTTCAAAAATCTCTATATTATTCACTGCTACGATTTACTTGCTGCATTTAAGGCTAGGGGCTCGTGAGATATAACTCGTTAGTTCGTGAGAACATTACGATTTACGACATTGGTGACTCCCGACGTTTACGCAGACTTTATAGCTTTCTGTCATACTGGATAACTTTTAACGTACTATTTGCTTGTGAATATCTATTCCATTTACATTTACTTTCCTCACGAATTCTGATATTTGACATCTCTGTCTTATTATGTCTCACTCCGATCAACAACTTGATGCCCCCGCCCAGTCACTTCATGCAATCAATTTTACTTTGCCTGAATTCTGGCGACACGCTCCAGAACTTTACTTCATCCGCATAGAATCAGCCTTTTATTCTGCCAACGTTACCAAGGAGCTAGCAAAATACCACCAACTCGTGGAGGTCCTCCCCGCTAGTGTCATCTCTCAAGTTCAGTCCTTGCTAGCTAATCCTCCTGCAGAAGCTCCCTACTCTGCGTTAAAGGCAGAAATCCTCCTAATTAATTCTGTGTCTGACCGACAGAGGTATCACCAGTTAATTAAGGAGGAGTCACTAGGTGACCGGAAGCCCTCAGAGCTTCTACGTCGGATGCGTTGTCTCCTTGGAGACATGCAAGTTGATGATAAATTTGTCAAGGAGATGTTCCTGAAGCGCCTGCCCACAGATGTTCAAACGATCCTGGCGTCCGGCTCTCAGGATCTCACAGTGTCACAGTTGGCTGAGATGGCGGATCGAATGATAGAGGTGCAACGATTCCAGTCACCTTCCGTTGCCCAGATCTCATCCTCATCGTCAGTGAATGAGCATTTACTAAAACAGGTGTCGGCCATGGCAGATGAGATGGCCTCCCTTAAAATACAGCTCACCCGCCTAACTTCCAGTCGCTCACGCAGTCGTCGTCGTTCTCGTTCGCGACCTCGCACTGCTGATACTTGCTGGTACCACACTAATTTCGGCGTAAAGGCCCGTCGCTGTTCCTCACCTTGCTATTTTAAGCCAAAACAGGGAAACCAGTCAGCCAGAGAATAGATGCGACCGTTTTCTCTGGCTCCTCCGGCTCTGGTCGCACCTTCTATGTTTGCGACACTGCGACTCGCAGACGTTTTCTGGTGGACACTGGAGCTCAAATCAGTGTTGTTCCCCCAATTGCAGCTGATCGCCGTTTCCCTAGTCCTGGTCTTCATCTTCAAGCTGCTAACTGTTCCCCAATTCCCACTTTTGGCAGTCTGTCCCTCACCCTGAACATTGGCTTTTGTCGGTCATTTACTTGGATCTTTGTGATTGCTGATGTCCCTCATGCAATCCTCGGCTCGGACTTCCTTGCCGACTTCGACCTGATTGTTGACTGTCGACGTGCCCGTCTCCTCGACCGCACAACCGGTCTGTTCGTCCGTGGACTAACTCCATTTACTGCCCCCACCAACTTATTTGTCCTGGATACAGATATTGCTAGTCCTTTTCGGCAACTGCTGCTTAGTCATCCCAACATAATTAACGCCCAGTTTCGCAGTGGTGAAGTTCAACATGATGTTGTGCACCATATCCGCACCTCAGGTCCTCCCGTGTTTGCTCGACCGAGACGACTAGCACCGGAGCGTTTTCAGGCCGCGAAGGCGGTGTTTGAACACATGCTGCAACTGGGAATAATTCGACCGTCCGAGAGCCCTTGGGCGTCCCCACTGCACATGGTGCCCAAGGCAACATCAGGCGACTGGCGGCCCTGTGGTGACTATCGCGCCCTCAACAATGCGACCATCCCGGATCGTTATCCCGTCCCTCATCTTCAACATTTTGCTGGAGCTCTTTTCGGCAAATCGGTTTTCTCGAAGATTGACCTTGTTCGGGCCTTCCATCAGATTCCTGTCGCTCCTGAGGATGTTCCAAAAACTGCCGTCACCACACCATTCGGCCTGTTCGAATTTATTCGCATGCCATTTGGTCTTCGCAATGCTGCCCAAACATTTCAGAGGTTCATTGATCGAGTCCTACGTGGTCTCCCGTTTGTGTACGCCTACATCGATGACCTCTTGGTGGCCAGTCGAAATGCCGAGGAACACAAAGAGCATCTTGCCTTAGTGTTTGACCGCCTCGATCAGTTTGGCGTGGTCATTAACCCTTCCAAGTGTGTTCTGGGTGTGCCGTCCCTTGATTTTCTTGGTCACCATATCGATGCACAAGGTTTGCGTCCCCTCTCTTCCAAGGTTGAGGCTATTCGTGACTTTCCTCCACCAACCTCCAAGCGTCAGCTGCAACGTTTCCTTGGCATGGTAAACTTTTATTGTCGGTTCCTACAGAACTGTGCCGACCTTATGCTGCCACTCACTAACTTGCTCTCTGGTCCCAAGGGTCCCCTTGCGTTACGTGTCCTCGCGCTGACTGCATTTGAGAGGATAAAGACCTCCCTTGCTGATGTTACTTTGCTCACTCATCCTGCTCCAGAAGCCCTATTATCCCTGATGGTTGATGCTTCGACCGTTGCCGTAGGTGCAGTCCTCCAACAGCATATCAACAACTCGACACGACCGTTGGCATTCTTCTCCAAGAAGCTTTCACCTGCCGAAACGAGATATAGCACGTTTGGCCGTGAACTTCTTGCCATTTACCTAGCCGTAAAACATTTCCGACACTTCCTTGAGGGTCGTGACTTCACCATTTTCACAGACCACAAACCACTTACATTTGCCATCCGATCCCATTCTGACAAATATAGCCCGAGAGAGATTTCTCATTTGGATTACATCTCGCAATTCACCACCGACATCCGCCACATTGATGGCCCGAAGAATGAGGTGGCTGATATGCTGTCCAGACCCTCACTGTCTTCCCTCCAACTCTCATACGGGATCGATCTTTGTGCCATGGCGGCTGAGCAGCAGCGAGTCGGTTGTCCTGGCGACGAGTCTGTTAGTGGTCTCCAACTCAAAGACGTTCCTCTGACCACCGGCTCTGGTACTATACTTTGTACGTCTCAACTCCTTTTCATCGCCCTTTTGTGCCTGCCTCGATGCTTCGAGCTGTATTTTAAACTCTGCATGGACTCTCCCGCCCTGGGATCCGAGCCTCTCAAAAGCTCCTCGCGGAAAGGTTTGTCTGGCCTGGCATGAACAAGGACGTCAAAGCTTGGGCCCTGTCGTGTCTGAGCTGCCAGCGCAACAAGGTGCAGCGTCACAACAAGTCCCCGCCAGGCACTTTCCCCAGTCCCGACGCACGGTTCAGCCATGTGCACCTGGATGTCGTAGGCCCCTTGCCTCCATCCAATGGTTTCACCTACCTCCTTACCTGTGTCGATCGATATACTCGCTGGGCTGAAGCTATTCCTTTGCCGAATGTTCAGGCTGAAACCATCGTGAAGGCCTTCGTCAGTCGTTGGGTCGCCATGTTCGGTGTCCCATCCACGGTTACGACTGATCGTGGTGCCCAGTTTGAGTCGGCACTCTTCCAAACGCTACTCAATTTCCTTGGCTGCACACGCATTCGGACGACAACCTACCACCCCGCTGCCAACGGTATGGTGGAACGTTTCCATCGCCAGCTAAAGACCGCCCTGCGTGCCGTAGAAGACCCAGGAAACTGGTCGGACAACCTTCCTCTTGCACTCCTCGGCATCCGCGCAGCTCTGAAGTCGGATCTGGGCTGTAGCGCAGCTGAATTGGTTTTCGGCACTACCCTCCGACTGCCAGGCGAGATGATCACCCCAACCTCTCGTGGAGCCGACGACACTCCTGACAATCTTGTGCACCGTTTGCGGCAATTTAAGCGCTCGCTTTCCCCGGTTCCACCTCGAGCTCCAATGACTGAGTCTTATGTCGAAAAAGACTTGGACAAGTGTACTCATGTGTTCGTACGCTGTGACCGTGTGCGCCAGCCGCTGGAATCACCATATGAAGGACCGTTCCGCGTGCTTGCGCGCAACACCAAGACCTTTCGGATTCTTCGCAGTGACAAGGAGGACGTGGTCAGTGTCGATTGGGTCAAGGCTGCTGTTGCGGAGGAGCCGCCGGACCTGTCACAAGGACAAACATGTGCTGACCCCCTAACCCCTGTTCCTCCATCTTCCCCATCCCCAACTCGTTCACCCTGCCCACTGCCTTGCCTTTCACCTCCCTTGCCCTCTACCCCTCCGTCCCGCATACTTCCTCGCCCTACATGTCAACAGCATCCAACTGCAGCACCATAGTCCACCACAGCACGCAGTCAACACTCTTCGACTGTACCTCCTGCATACATAACTCGCAGTGGCCGTCACGTTCATTTTCCTGATCGTTTAGTTACCCATTTTTTCTAGACTTGTGCATATCCTCCGGCGTCGTATCCCGTCGCCCCCCGGTCTAGAAGGGGGGTACTGTGGTGAGGTACCTGACTAATTTACCTTTGACAATTTAGTCCCATTTCCTTTGACCGCATTGTTTGTTTGAATGTGACGAGAAACGACACACCTTTACAACCCGCCTTGCTAGCGTGCTCTGCTGTGATATTCTGTTGTCAGTTTTTCTTAAAGTTCAAAAATCTCTATATTATTCACTGCTCTGATTTACTTGCTGCATTTAAGGCTAGGGGCTCGTGAGATATAACTCGTTAGTTCGTGAGAACATTACGATTTACGACAGGCGTCCATCAGCATGGCAGAGAACATAAAACTGAAGAGGGTAGGCGCCAGAACGCATCCCTGCATCACTCCTTTGGCCACTGCAAATGCCTCTGAGACAGCTCCGTTGTCCGTGACTCGCGCCATCATACCGTCGTGCAGCTGACGCACCATCTGAATTAATCGCTCCGGACAGCCGAATTTCCGCATGATTTTCCACAATACTTCACGATTCACCGTGTCGAAGGCTTTCGTCAGGTCCACGAAGGTAGACTACAGGTGGGTCCGCATCTCCTGGCACTTCTCCTGAAGTTGACGGGCGGCGAAGATCATATCCGTGGTCCCACGATGACGACGGAAGCCGCATTGGCTTTCCGGCAGAAGGCCCTCTTCCAGATGGTTATTGAGGCGGTTGAGCAGGATGCAAGCGAAGATTTTCCCGGCGATGTTCAGCAAGGAGATGCCACGGTGATTGTCGCAAGCTTGGCGAATCCCTTTTCGCTTGTATAGATGCACGATTGTTGCGCCTTTGAAATCTTGCGGGACTTCACCTTGACGCCACATCTCCTGGAACAGCGCGGTCAGGTGGTCCATGAGTTGGGGACCTCCATGCTTGTAGACCTCAGCAGGGATTGCGTCCGAGCCGGGTGCTTTCCCGCTGGAGAGCTGCTGCACGGCCCTGATGGTATCCTGAAGAGATGGCAGGAGGTCGATGTCCACGTTGGTCTCCACTTGTGGCAATCGGTCGATGGCGGTGTCGGAGATGGTGGAGGCGCGATTCAGGATGCCTCGGAAATGCTCGGTTAATCGCTGTAGGATTTGCGTCTTCTCAGTCAGGAGAGTGCTGCCGTCGGCGCTGAGGAGAGGAGCAGTGCCCTTCGTCGGCGGACCGTAGACAGCTTTGATCGCGGAGAATAAGTTCTTCCATTCGTTGCGGTGCGCATAGCCTTGGATCTCCTCAGCTTTGCGAGCAGTCCAGGCGTCCTGCATCTCGCGCAGTCGTTGCTGAAGCTGTCGGCGACTGCGGTAGAAGGCAGCTTTGTTGTGCTCAGTGGGGTGGTCCACGTAGGCTTTGTGTAGGCGGTTCTTCTCAGCGAGCAGATTTCTGATGGCGGCGTCGTTGTCGTCGAACCAGTCCTGGTGTTGGCAGCGTGCGCGACCGAGGACGACTAGCGCTTCGACTGGACCGTGTCTCGCAGTTGACACCAGCGGTCCTCCACAGAGGCGTTCTCGGCAGCGGCGTCGTCGGCGGCGCCGGCGGTACGAAGGTTGTCTAGCCGTTGAGCTAGCTCATTGCTGAAATGGAGATGGTGAGCGGGCAAAGACAACAAGGCAATATTCTACTTACCTGGGGGTCGCTTACCTTGTGGTCTCCGGCAAGGCTGTAGGCGAATACGCATCTTCGAGATGACGAGGCGATGGTCGGTCCACCCGTCAGCATCCGCGATCGCCTTCGTCACCAGCACGTCCCGCTGGTCTCGTCTCCTGACGAGGACATAGTCCAGCAGGTGCCATTGACGCGACCGAGGATGCCTCCAGGTGGCCTTCTCTCGCTCCGGCAGACAGAAGAGCGTGTTCGTCAGGATGAGGCGGTGTTCTGCGCAGGTGCGGAAAAGCAGCAGACCATTGTCATTGGAGCCGCGCAGACCATGGGGCCCATCACTCCTCTCCAGGCAGTATGGTCTGTGCCGACGCGGGCGTTGAAGTCACCAAGGACAATCAACTTGTCCGCCTTCGGCACTGTCGCCAAGAGGGCGTGCAGGTCCTCTTAGAATTTGTCTCTTGCGGCGGCGTCGGGGCTGCTCATCGGCGGAGATTTGGCGCTGATGATGGTGACCAATTTGCCCCCTTCCCTGCGGAGAGGCAGACGGAGGCTCATTAGGCGGTCGTTGATTCCCTGCGGCAAACAGGGCAGTCGTCCCACGATGTCGGTCCGGATGGCGAAGGCGACACCCGCGTCTCGTCGCTCTGCCTTGGGTCGACCACTCCAGAAGAAGGTGTAGCCGGCACCCACCTCCTCCAGTTGGCCTTGTTCGGAGAATCGGGTCTCGCTGAGTGCGGCGATATCCACCTTTTAGCGCCCCAGTTCCGGGGCCACTAGCACCGTCCTCCGTTCTGGCCGGTTGCTCCTCGGATTGTCTAGAAGGGAACGAACATTCCAGGCTGCCAGAGTGAGCGGGCTCACCCTGCCAGTCTGGTGACAACGAGTGGGGCGACGGGAGGGAGGTGGAGAAGAAGGTGACGAAGGATAAGAATAGGCAGAAGAATAGACAGGGTTAGAGGAAGAAAAGGTAGGATGAGGAGAATGAGTAGGGTTGTTGTTGTTGTTTCGATTTTGGTTGTTTCAACCATGATTATACGTCTGCGGCCCTGGCTAGCCTGAAGACGGCGTGGTACACAGCATTTTTTAGGCCACCTTTTCCAGGCCCTTCCCCTCGTGGGGCAGGCAGTGCCGCCACTGAAGCGGGCTGCCCATGTGCCTGGTTGGCGTGACCGAATCGCACTATGGGGCCACGACTGTTATGTTTGTAGTGGAGAACGACCGCATATGCCGTGAGTCCGCGGTCTCCGTCGGAGAGGGTGGGCGCGCCTCAGCGAAGGCGATGCGGAGGCCCGTCCCGGCAGCAGTTGTCCAACGGCGTACCAGGAAGAGCCTCGTCTCGACGATGCCAGCGCAGTGCGGAGACCGCAGTTCACTGTGCACGCGGCACAAGCGCACAGCGCCCTCTACTCCCAACACACACACACACACACACACACACACACACACACACACACACACACACGCACACAACTGGGCAGACTGCGTGGACTGAGTTGGGGTGCCAGCCAGCAGACTTCCCGCCACGGTGCCTGACGCGACATGAATTTCTGGTGCTCGAGTCACCCATGCAGCAAGGATTTGCATGGAGACGGAGTGGAGACGCACACTTCTCACTCGCGACTTAGGTGACAAATCGGTGCATGTGTGGGCGGTCTTGATGTCCGGTGAGATGTTTGTTAGGGAAGATGTGGTGTTGTGATGCAGCCTGCGGTTGTCTACGGCAGGATTTCCTGGATGCGCATGTGGCCGAGTAGGCCCATGCGGTGCAGGAATGTGCGGGGTCTGTGTGGACATTGAGGGCGGATGCGAACGGTGTAGGTTGGTGCTCCAGGCACTAGTTCGGCAGTCTCTGCACGATGGATTCGCAAGTGAAAGACCAGGCCGGTGCGTGAGTTAAATTTGTGGGGGCAGTGTGAACACACACACACACACACACACCTCACTATACCCACCAATTTTGACACAACATGCCACACTGTCCTCGCACTTTCAGGCACCGCATTGGCCTATTTGACCACATGCGCATCCACGAGAGCGGAATTGACCACAATTCCGACACACCCACAACATGCAACATATCCACCATGCTCAGCCACACCGTCGTCCCATCGCCCGCGCCCATCACCACCACCACCACCTCCTCCTCTGCAACTGACACCGACACCATCGACCTCTCATGCCCAGACTATCCAAGCACGTTCACCTCACGCATCGGCCTGCTCGGTCACTTGCGAATCCATCGCACAGAGACTGGCGAACCAGTGCTTGGAGCACCAACCTATACCCACCAAGCTCGACGCAACTGCCCACACTGTTCTCGCACTTTCAGGCACCGCATTGGCCTATTCGGCCACATGCGCATCCACGACGACTTGCGGTAGACAACTGTCGGCTACACCACACACTCCCTACCTTCCTTCACCATCACCACTATACATCAACACTCACCCACCGCATGCACCCAACTGCCACCTCCCACGCAAGTGGGAATTGTGCCTCTCGACTCGGTCCCCATGCGGCTTCGGCTGCACGGGTGACCGCCACCACCACCACCGCCATCGACGACAGTTCTACCATCGATTTCGATGATGGCTACCTTCACCTTCGACGTCAAGCAACCTCATCATCCACCATAAACGTCCAATTGCCACCTCCTCCGCAAGTGGGAAGTGTGCGCCTGGGCTCCGTCTCCATGCGGCCCCTGCGCTGTATGTGTGAATGGAGTCTGAGACTGTCACGGCGCGTCAAGCGCTGTGACTTGTTCGAAGACGCTCGTTTCGGTCTGTCGTCTACGTTAGGAGAAGTTCTAGGTGATCCTACCCTGCGGTGTGAATCTAGGAGAGCATATACGGAGGAAAAGCTTCAGGACCACAACTACTCTGATGGTGCGTTATCGCGCAGCATTTGAAGCAGCAGACTGTACTGCACTCATCACAACGTCCTCCCAAACCCCATGATGGACTCCGCCCTCCATACCAAAAGCAGCCCTCTTGGATGCGGACTTCCAGCCTTCTGTCAGGGCAATCGCCCCGCACACGAACAATGTTCGAGGGGGTGCTGAGGTGGGTTATAAATTCCTTTCGTCCGCACTGGCGACAGAACATCCCCTAAATCGTTCAGTGCCACGTCACCTACTACGACGGTTAAATGCCAAGAGCAATGCCGGATAGGAGTGGGTGCTAGTAGAAGTGAGAGGTGAGTTCCAGGAGGTAGTCGTGAGAAAGGAGACATGATTTCTGGAACAGGGGCTTTATTAGCCTGACGTTTCGGATCCCCACTCGAATCCATCATCAGAGGAGGAGTCAGATAAGGGTAGCGGATTGTCGACTGACGCGCCAACCTATTCCACACAGTATGTTTGTGTAAGTGGCAGGCACGTAGACTGAGAGCCAGGCTGAAACAGCTCCTTCTCAACGTGACCTGCGGCACTCTCACGCGTGTGAGATGTAGCCGTAGGGTGGACCGACAACTGCCTCGTCATATTCAAGATGCGGATTCGCCCATAGCCTCGCAGGAGACCCAAAAATAAGCGCCCCCTAGCAAAGCCGAATGTAGAGTTGTTGTCTTTGCCTGTTCATCATCTGCAATTCAGCAACGAGCTAGCTCAACAGCTATGCAACTTACCAATCGCCAATACCCCCGCCGCCGCCGCTCCGTGGAGAACTGTTGGGACACAATCCAGTCGAAGGCGCCGGCCATCCGCCACCTACAACCTACTCACGGAGACGAACCATTTGCACAAAGCCTATATCGACCACCTCACCGACGACGACAACAAAGCCGCCGACTTGTGCAACAGAGGTTTCGCGAGATGCAGGACTGCTCCCAAAGCTGAGGAGAGCCAGTGTTGTGTGTCCTGAAATTGTGGAGCGGACGGCTGGTGGTCTAAGAGGCAGGCTGCAACGGCTCCTTCTTAATGTGGCCTTTATGCCACTCCCACTCTGTGGGATCCGAGCCAGGTATGACGACACGTCTAGGCGCGGCTTCGGCCACGCCAACGACCTGCGCCCTCCCCCACCTCTAGTCTTTCTGATTATGTCTGAACAATCGATCCAGGTGAGGGATGATGAAAATGTGCGGTAGATGCTCCGCAAGTCTACATTCACGGTAAACTATATCACGCGCAAGTCACCGTCCATGTTCTCACCTTCTTGTGGAGCACACGGTGGACATCATCCGAAACGACCGTCGAACTGTCGTGTGTCAGCGGGGCACAAACTGCTCTCACCGACACAATCTTGATTATATGTGTGGTTTGTTTTTCAACAAGTAAGTGTCCGTTTTAAATTCAACAATTCCAGATTGGGCCACCTGTCCAGGTAGGCCGTCTCATGTCATGGTGAATAAAAAGAAGTCAGCGTCAATCCACCTCTTCTTCATGACAGTCATCATTCCATTAATTTTCTTGAATTGCCATAAGGTTGGATTAATATAATTCGTTACCTAACTCACGATTGGGCTTTGAAATTTAGGTATGATTGCTAATAGCTCGCAAACTAATACCAACGTGAGTACCAAATATCCATGCTCATAGATAAAGTCCCAAAGGGAATAAAACGCATGTAAGACAGCTTGCCAACAACCTACATCCTGAGGGTAGATTCCAAAACAGTTTCCCGAGGCTTCGTGATATTCTTTACGCTTTTGAATTGATTGAGATGCGGTTCAATAATGCAAACAGAATTTTGTTTGATTTGCCTATACGGACGTCGTAGGGTAGAAAAATTTCACAAAGGGACATGATGTCTGTGCTTAATAGATTTAAATAAACTTGACAGGTGTGATCGTCAACATACCACTTCGCGTATACAACGAAACTTTTTTCCCATGGAATCAATTTGTACCGTCGGTGGGGCACACCGTGGTCATCGTCGAAATCGACGGACGAACTGTCGTGTGTGTGTGTGTGGACGGGCTGAAACAGCACCTTCCACGGCCCTCTCACGCAAGTAAGAGACACGCCGTTCAACCCCCGTTGTGTGAAATCCTGGTGTTTGTGTGTGTATGGGGGGCCAGGTCGTGCTGTGGTGCGCGCAGGCATGGTCAGTCGACCGTGCCAGCCACGGCGCCCATTCCCCACCTCAGTCTTCTGACCGACTCGGACAGTGGCTGAGGTGTGGGAATGGGAAGGGAAAGTGAGGTCGACGACTCAGCACACTTGCTCCTCATTATAGACAATCTGACGCTCTTGAAGCTATCACGGTGCGCTAAAAGCCGTGGCTTGGAAGGCTGCCAACTGACGAGATTACTTGGAACTCGCAGTCGGCCCAGTGTTGTGTGTGTTTGTGTGCAGCGGCCGGCTGGTGGTGGTGGTGGCTGCAATGGCTCCTTCTTAATTTGGCCTTGATGGCACTCCCAATCTGTAGCATCCGAGCCGGCCGTTGGCGGCACGCCTAGTCGCGGTTTCGGTCATGCCAGCCACCTGCGGCCTCCTTCATCTCTGATCTTGTTAATTATGTCTTGACACGGGATCCGGGTGAGGGAAAATAAGAAAGTGCGTTAGGTGCTTCGCAAGTCTGCATTAACTATAAACTATGTCACGCGCAAGTCAATGTGCATGTTCTCACCTTCTTGTGGAGCACACTGTGGACATCATTGGAAACGGCCGTCGAACTGTGGTGTCAGCGGGGCACAAACTGCCCTCACTGACGCAGTCTTGATTATATGTGTGGTTTGTTTCTCAACAGGCAAGTGTCCATTTTAAATTCAACGATTCCCGATTGGGCCACCGCATCAGAAAGGCCGTCTCATGCCATGGTAAATGAAAAGAAGTCAGCGTCAATCCACCTCTCCTTCACGACAGTCATCATCCTAACAATCTTCTTGACTTGCCATAACGTTGAAATCGTACTGGTCGTTGCCTTACTCACGATTAGGCGTCGAAATTTAGGAATGATTGCTAATAACTCGCAGACCGATGCCAACGTGAGGGCCCAATATCCATGCTCATAGATAAAGTCTCAAAGGGAATAAAAACACATGCAAGACGGTTTGCCAATAACCTGCATTCTCAGTGTAGATTCCAAATCAGTTTCCAGAGGCTTCGTGATATTCTTTACGCTTTTGAATTGATTGAGATGAGATTCAATAATGCAAACAGAATTTCGTTTGATTTCCCGACAAGGAGGTCGTAGGGTAGAAAGTTTTCACAAAGGCACATGTTGTTGGTGTTTAATAGATTTAAATAAAGCTGACAGGTGTGATCGTAAATATACCACTTCGCGTATACAGCTAAACTTTTCCCATGGAATTAATTTGTACAGTTTCTTTATATCGGATTACGTTGAGTTTCAGACAGCCCTCGAAATATCAATGAATAATCCATGATTTTCATAGTTTCCGATCGATTGCCCATAAAGGCAGAGTCCGTGTTGTGTGCTTGCCAAATCGTTAGAAATAAGATACTTCTTGGAGGTACCTATCATATTAGCAACTGGTTAGGCGTTCTTTTTCATTTAAAGTTCGTTTGGGTTATATTAGATGACTCAACCAAACGGAAAACCTCATTGTCGAATAAAAAGAACATCCACAACAGAACTCTACAACGAATACACTTACAATAAATTAGAGAATACATTCTCTTATAAGTTGCCTTTTTAAGCAGTGCTTTAATCTTGCTAACTTGGAACTTATTGCCGAACGGAAATGACGGAGAATACGTTAAAAGATATTCCCGAATGCTAATACACATATTCTAAAATAAAGTCCTTCATGAAAGTCACCTGCCTAACAATTCCCGTGAATTTCCGTAATGCTGAATCAGTATCATCTCATTACCGGCTAACAACCACACAGCGGCCGCACCAACTGCACGGTAGTTAAACAAATTGCAAAGGCCTTTCGCGATTTATCTGACCAACCACCCGGTATCCCCAATGGAACATCGAATGCAAAGGAGAGTTGTTCTGATTAATGCTACACGGTATCTGCAGGAGATGCGTCGAGTTCTCAACAGGTATCCTCTTTGGCAGCTAATTATTTTACGGCCAATCATTAGCATAACAAGTGTGCAGTGATCAGATTGTGATATCAAGATCCTGTCTGCTCATTGGCCACAAGGCGCTGAGTCCTGATTGGTTGCTCCCACTGTCATGGCCACAGTGCGAATGGCCAGACTATGACCAGACTGACCCACTGGTGTTTTCGTCAGCGTTGGAATGCACTTTCAGTTCCAGTATTTCTGCGCGTAGACTCTTTTCTGCGCACAGTCGTTACAAAAAGTTCTGACATTAGAAGAAAATGCGCCCCATCTATGGGTAAGAATAGTATATACGCGCGGCCCATGTAATTTCATAGAAGAAGACGGGAAGGCGATCGCTGGGACCAATGGTTTATTTATCCGACGTTTCGAACTCTCAAGCGAGCCCATTGTCAAGGAATG